ACCACTTCCGAAAAACAATTGCCTTGAAAACTGCAAGGATTCGTCCAAGCAGTCACTGCAGAGTCAGCAATGATTGAGCGCAGACCAAAAAAAAAAAAGGTTCTCCTGGAAGAAGTAGTTAAGTGTTTTATCAATAAATAGTATTAAATACTGCCCTAATAAAGTTTTTAAAACAATTAAAACATATTTAAACTTCATGAAAAACACAAATAACTTATATAAACTTATTTTTACTGTAATGCTACTTTCTTCCTTCTCCAACATCCAAGACAACAAAAAAGTTGGAAGAAAGTATTGTCCTTTTGATTCCCAGCACTTCCATGCAGCCACTGGCATGGACCCTCTTGATCCCTGCAGCACTTTCATGCTGCAACCCAACTTCATCCCTGCTGCTTTCTGAGATGGGAGATGATGAGGAAAAGGAGTAACTCAGGAAGAGAAAATCCCAGGAGGCAGGATAAACCGGGCATTCCACTAGTGAGAAACTATCTGTATCAGAGTGCCAGCGGAAGCACCGCAAAACTATTCAGTGTTTCCTCTGGAGCAACAGCTAAGCTGAAAGTTAACTGCACAGCTGCTGAAGACCCCTACTCAAAGACCAACAACATCTGTTGGTGCAGCCCTTGTGTGTGAAAGGAGCCCCTCAGTGTGTGGAAAGATTAGCAGACTTCCTTAATGGTAAAGATGTTGACTGTGTGAGAATCCTGCTTGTATTTTTGTACAAATGGTGAGCACAGGAATATTAGGGATAATATCAAGTCACATGAACACTATTTGGGGATCGGTTGAAGCAACGTAGGACAGATGCATTAAAATGCTTTGCAGCACCTTAAGTTGAACACATTCATTATGGCTTGTTTTGTAGCCTACCAAGCTTGACCTCTTGCCTGGCCTTTGTGCTCATATTGCTCTCAAGCCTGCAAGAGAAGGGGATGTTGTGTCCCTGCTTTTGTCCCCTTCTGCTTCTTATGAAGCGTCTATTGCCTTGAGCATGCAGAAATAACTGCTCAAGGGGACTGGTGGTCCAATGACCACATCAGATGATGTGTTAGTTGCTATCTCACTTAGTGTTTCAGGGTATTTAATAATGTCAGCATACTTCATAGGTGGAACCATAGTAACCCTAAGAGGTGCTACAAATTTCAGCAAGCCAAATTTGAACTGAATTTGGTACAGGATGCATTAAAAAAAATCAGATTTTAAAAAATTAAAATCATTTATTGTAAACCAACTAAATAGTAAGGTTCTTTTTAACATATTTACAGCTAAATCGAATCCAAAATAATTACTAAAGCCACATTTCTGGACTCATCAATGACCAAAAGGCTTTGTTGCGTTCTTATCCTTTTCCAACCATTCTGTATTTTTAGTTCTAGGCACAAGGAAGGGTACATGGGGAGTAGTATGTGTGTGCTCCATTCTTCCATCTTCCCCATACTAGCCTCCAGAAGTACAATGTGGTTGTCTGTGATTAAAAAACAAACAAACACCATCTATCCATGGAGGATCCTAACTTTCAATGGGTTTCATATCTCATAAAAACTCAGGATATGGTTGATCTTTAATTGTATAATATGTATCAAGGCAGTGAAGCTTAGTTAACAGAGAAAAAGAAGGAAGTGGCTTTTCCTACTATGTACTATAACTATACTACTATGACAGCCAGTGTAGTGATTAAGGCACCAGACTAGAAACTGGGAGACCATGAGTTTAAGTCCTGCCTTAGGGACAAAGCCATTTGGGTGACCTCAAACCAGTCATTCTCTCTCAGCCCTGGGAAAGAGGCAATGCCAAACCATTTCTGAAAAACTTGCCAAGAAAACTGCAGGGACTAGTCCAGGCAGTTGTCACTAGAAGTCAGTCCAGGCACTGACTAGAAGACCAAAAAAAAAAAAAAAATACTCCCTAGTTTCTAGATCACATTATCTAAAAAATTACACAGGATAAAGTGATGTAACAAAATCTGTATTACTTTGTACTTAAGTATTGTTTTAGTGGTCTGATTAGACTTTCAATTTTCAGTATGACACCCCTTCAGGGGCAAAGTTGATTGTTTCAAGCAATAATTGAGGCTGCCTTGATTTAAATCAACCTATTTGCAGGCAAGGGATTAAGTTAAGTGAAACAACACAGAAAACTCCTCAGGAACAGAGACATTTTTCTGTTCATGATATTCAGTGGAACACGAGCTGCCTTATACAAACGCAAAATTCTGATTTCAACCTTGTGTAGAGTTGAAGAGGAAAATACTTTGTTTTGTGTCAGATAATTTTTTATGGATTTTAATCCATATAGCTGTGAAACTGGAATTGGAACACAGTGTTGATGTTACATAACTAATTGCTGAGATTTTGCTTAAGCTTATCTCAGTCTATTTTAATATGTTTTTAAAACTACTCCCAACTTCTTAAAGGCACATCTTCAAAACTGGTGGTACCCATTTAAGAGCTGCAACTTTTAAACTCTTGTTAGATTCTGCAGATCCCTGACAATATTGGCTATAATCAGTATGACTTCGTTCATAATTTTTTTGACAGAAAGCAAAAAATATCAAGTTATTTTTCAGATATAATTTATGTCTAATATAAGTATAAATCTTAAAACAAGGCATGAAGAAAATTTACATCAAGTAGACAAAAGTTCATTTATAAAATAGTCTTAATTGCTGATGCTCAAGACACCAAGCCACTCCTAAGAATCATTTTGTGGGTGGACAGCACATATGTGTGATTTTTTAAAATAAAAAGGTTCCTCCAACCATCCAGCTACACATAGGCATTTTTGTCGAAGTGCTTTGGAGGGGTCTTGGATGTTTTAAAATCTGCTGAATAGGCCTTGGTTCGAGTAGACATCACAGAAGCAGGTCTGTTGTATGTATATACCGTCCTGAAACATGAGAAAATTTAGTGCTCATTCTCTAAATATCAAGAAATATTGAAAGGAAGATGTTATGGAGCTGTGCAGTGCTTCAGGTCTTATAAACAGATGTTTTGGAATACATGGAAGGGTGAGTACAGCCGCTCTTTGCAACTCATTTAAACCAGCTGCATCGATTTCCAGGATCATGTGGAAACCTCCCAGAGCTGCCTTACAATTCTGGAAAAAGACATGGCTATTCTGATAAATTGCAGATGTTGGCATGTACTCACACCTTAATCACAACAAGGATATTGTACCCATCCATTACGTTCAAGGTGGGCAAAAACTTTTCAGACATGAGATTTTAATAGTAATGGCAGGGATAACATCTCCACTGGTGCTGATGTGGACACCACTGCAGTTGAAGAGGCTGCTTATGGTCAACTTTCAGTATTCTTTTAAGTGACAGTTTAACAAGAACAGTGTTAATACTTTGCTAGTCCTTGGGAAAGGCTTTCTGTGGAGTGGAAGTATGGAATGAAAATTTTCAAAACTGCTGAAGGAATATTTACTAGCACGGCAGAAACAATTTTTTCAAACTAAGCTAAAGATTCTTTTCCCAGCAGTCCTGAGCTTATGATCAAATACCTAAAAAAATATAGGCGTGTCCTGAAGTATATTCCCATGCTGAGAATCACTTAGTGGGAAGCTCAAATTGCCTTAATGACCATAACACGGAGGTCAAACAGTCAAAAGCCCTGCAGGTTCAAATGCTAAGAATGTGAGTCAACAGCCAAGCCAGGAAAGGCAGTTGCCACCTTATTATTGATGACACAATGGAGTTTGGTGTGTGAAACACTCCCAAATGTCACATAAGCTTCCCTGGTCAGATACCTCTAATTGCTTCACATTAAAAAACCAAGAAGGGGACCTTGTTACCTGCTCTTCAGAATCTACCCACTTGATTTTCAGAAGGGAATAAAAGGGTTTCTTCAGCAACCATTTATTTATTGCTTTAGTCATGCTATCAGCCTCTGATTTTTTATTTTAAATCATACATATTTGACCAAGCACAGAATCATGAGATCAAAAATCATGGAGACTTTTTCTCCATGCCATATACTGTAGCAAGCTGCTCTTAAAACAGTTTCAGATACAGGCATAAGCATGACATTCAGTTTAAATTTTTGAAATTCTCAACAAAAGAGGTAAAAATCACAGCAAATGCACTATTGCACTGCACCTTCTGTCTTCCTCCCTAGATCCTGATTTTGACCCAATTCCTTCATATGTTGTGTATTGGGGGAAGGGACACAAAATTAATATCCCACTTACTAGATAGATGAAAAGGAAAGAAAGCTTGGAAAGGTAAGTAAGGGCAGTACTAGTGAATACTGCTGTCTCAGTACTATTCAGGATAAAGTACTATTCAGTACTACTATTCAAGATAAATGGAGGTAGTTGGTTTGACAATTATAAATCCATATTTCTGTGCAAACATAAGCCCTGATTCATGAATCATGACATTCATGCTTCTTAAGAGCACTGAAAATACAGCATGCATCCTTTTAAATAGGAAGCACTAAGCATCTCCATGGCATAAATGATCCATCAGCTTCTATGATATCTAATGCTATGCTTAAATCTTGCAGAGATGAGCAAAGTCTCACAAGCTTTTTCCCTAAAAGCAAAAGGTCTTTAAATCCCCCTTTTTCTTAACCAATCATTCTTGACTACTAACTGTACGGTTATTGCTGAAAGATATGCAGATTGAATTGGTGCTGCTTATCTTCTTACAAGTTTAATTATTAGAAATATGCTAATGCATTAATTTCAGCGTTCTGTACCGTGGAGTTTGTTTGTTTTCAGCAATGGAGAAGCAGAATATGCTGCCACCAATTATGCAAAGCGATGCTCCAGCCCAACCAATGAATAAAGCTGCTCCTAGTTCATACCTGCAGATAAGTGATACGTTCATGTTTAATAAATAGTTCAATCAGCAAATCAGTTTCATTTATTTCATGGGGAGGGTTGACAAGGATACATGAAGACATTCATTGTATTAACAAACATTTAATTAAATAATTTTTACCCATAATATTGCTGTTTCCACTAGAAGCCTCGCCCCCCAAAATCAGCAAGCATGGCAAACATTGCTCATCCCATCTAAAATAAGCCATTTGTATTATGGTTGGTAGTAACGGGATAAACACTGAAGGTTTAATTCCCTTTTCACTTCCCTGATTCTCAGATTTGGAGAAGTTACTAAATGCTGTCTTGCTTTCCAAGGTCTATCATAACAAATGTATTTACAGGTAGTCCTTGACTTACGACCAAAATTGGGACTGGAACTTCCGTAGCTAAGTGATGTAGTTAAATGAGTTGTGCCCAATTTTACAACCTTTTTTGCTGCAGTCGTTAAGTGAATCACCACAGTTAAGTGGATCTGGCTTCCCACATTGATTTTGTTGGAAGCCCCCTGGGAAGGTCGCAAATGGCAGTCACATGACCCTGGGGCACTGCAACTGTCATAAATCTTTTTTTTTTAATCTGCACTCAGTTGTTACTGACTCTGCAGTGACTGCTTTTTGGACAAGTCC